TTTAAAAAGACAAGCCACTAAAAAAAGAAAAGAAAAAATTTTAATAAAAAAAGCTTGAAAAAAGACAAGCCACCAAAAAAAAAGAAAAGAAAAAAAGATTTTCAATAAATAGTTTTTTTTAAATGACAAGCCACAAAAGAAAAAAATTTAAAAATAAAATTTTTTTAAAAAGACAAGTCACTGCTAAGAGTGGGGATCCTTCGCTGCCCTTTCAGTGCTTGGGACTGCTGCGTGGTTGCTTCTGGGCCCAGAAAAGGACCCTGTTTGGTGTGTGAAGTAGACCCCAGGCATGCTCGGACCCGGCTCCACTTTGGGAACAGCTACCTGGGCCCTGCTGTTCGGTGTCACTCGTCTGATACCCAGCATCCAGTCCAGCCGAACTCGAGGACAGACACTGCCCTTCAAGAAGCCCCAGCCCAGAGGCGACCTCCACCGTCACATGGTCACAGTGGCGGCAGAGGAGCTGTGGGCTCCTGAGGGTCTGGACCGGGCGGATTCTCCCCGCTCATAATCTCAGGGTCTGGAAGGCTGACCCAGGTGAGGGGAGCCTCTCACGGTTCTGGGATAGAGATGACTCCCAAGACACCTTCTCCAGACTGAAAATCATCCCCACTCTAGCCCCCCCATAAAGGCGCTCCCATAAAAAGATGTCTCCTGCTTCCCTGCTCACTACGCGCCCAGAGGCTGTGCCTCCCGATTCTTTTGTCCGGCCCTCCCTAGGTGCAGACAGTTCCCTTCTGAGACTGGTTATAGATGGCTCCCCTGGCCGTCCCAGGTTAAGCCACTAACCTAACTCTGGTACCTGTCCACTCTATTCTGTATGTGCCCACTAGAGGCTTTGAAGCCCCAGGACTATATAAACCCCTCGGAAAATACATTTGATCCTGACATCAGGAAAGGCGAGCCCCTGTGCCCATTCTTTCTGTCTCTTTCCTTCCTACATTTGCACCGCTGCTGCTCAGCACCCGTTCACTTGTGGGCCGGTCCCCGCAAAGAGCCTCCCTGAGTTTGGGCTCAAGTGGGCTGTTTGGCTCCCCGAGGCAGCCGTGGATCTGGATAGTGGGATCCTGGTGGCCAGAGCTGTGCTAGAGAGCTCAGGAGCACACGGCCCTGTTGCCACAACTTGTGGTGTAGGGAGTGGGCTACAGAGCCAGATGTTTTGATTTTGAATCCCGTCTCTGCCTACATTTCACCCTTTACCCGTGTTTGCAGTGGCAGCGCTGTGTGGAGACTCCCACAGGACACCTTTTTCCCTCCCATGAAGGTGTTTAGCCAGGAACCCCCGAAGGGAAGCATGGAAACAGGGCTACCATGGTGCTGACCGACTCCTCACTTACTGACCATCTCATTCACTGACATTTCACACTTATGACCTGCGTGAAAAACATCTCTCTGTCTGTATTCCACAGTAACGAACAGAGAGGTGCCAGGCAAGCGTGACACGGACTGTGAGGGTTAAGGTTATGCGTCGGCTGGACCGGGGGGCGTGGTTTCCAGTGGCCGGGCAGTCTTGTGATGCCGTGTATGTAATCATGTGTGCTTTGGCCGTTTGGGCGTAGTCGCCTTCCATTCTGTGATCTGATGTGGTTATCCTCCATTGTCACAGCACTGATAGACAGTCCCATAATGACCTGGGGCCCTGAGTGAGGACATTACCTCCGCCCTTCTTTAGTATTCCTTCCACACACCCCAGCAGCTCCCTTGCCTAAGCATTTACTGCAGCTTCCAGTCTGTCTCGCTCCTTCCCACTTAATTATCCTTCCTTCCTGGGACCCAGCTCCCTGTATGTACCCTCAGAGTAGCCCCCACCTGTCTCCCGGGAGCTTGGGCATGGACCCTGGGCTG